GGTGGGCCCCTGAAGGTGCCGCCTCCCCCACCTACGAGCCCCACCAGAAAGTTTTGTGCCTCCTGGAGGCTGTGACCATCCCCCTCCCAGTCCCCGCTTCCGACGTTCTCCTCTTTGATGTCAGCCTGGAGACAGTGTTTGGGATTTCATTCCCTTAATTTATTCTCTTTCTGGTTGGAGCTGTCATGCTTTTGTGGAAAGCTCTTTGTTGCGCCTGTGGTTTGTTTAAAGGCAGGATCTGCCAGCAGCGGGAGAGGCGGGGGGGCTCCGATACCTGCTTGGGCGGGTGCCCCGCAGCTGCTGCTCGAAAAACAAGAGAGAAGTGGCTTGCTCTGGTTTGAAGCTTGCGCCTAATAACTTCATCTCGTGTCTGCTTCTCAGATGAAAAAGCATATATAATCGCGTCTCGTTTGCCTCCTCTGTGGCGAAATCCGAGTGATTTTTATAGACCTGTCTCGCAGGATAAATGTTAACGACGTCTGTCGATGTGACACTGAGCTGATGCTGCTCCAGAGCTGTCCCCTGCGACTCCCAAAATTCTCCTCCGGAGCTAATGGAGCCGCATGGTGGGGTGCGTGCAGCCGGTGCTGTTCCACGGCCAGGCGTTTGCGGACGTCTCGTTTGAGCTGTGGCTTTACGCTTGTCCTTCTCCAGCCCCACGCGAGCGGCCGCGCTCTGTGAAGCCCCCAGTAATTAACGCCGGCCGGGGGTCCCCCGAGTCTTTGCAGCCTGCTTGGGTGCGGGGCAGAGCGGAGCGGGAGTTGGCTGGGGTGCTGTGGGAAGCTCTCAGTGGGGGTCCGGAGGATCCTCTTTTAGGGCTAATTCTTCTTTCTAAATACAACATGTTTATCAGTGATCTGGAAGAAAACGCAAATTAATGGAGGAAGAGCTGGAGAAGATGCAACGGCGTAGAGGATGATAAATAATGAAGAGGACAGGTCCTTGGTACAGAGTGACCTTGATTGCTTAGCTGGAGGGCTGTGTTTTGCAAGCGCTAGTCGCTGCACTGAAGCAAGATGAAATGCTTTGCATCTAAAAAAAAAATATTAAAATTGAGCCAAGAGGACGGGGAGTTCTTGCTAGGGAGTTTAGCTTTGAAAAAATACAAACACGTTGTGGATTTTATTCTTGTTTTGAACATTTTGTGTGATTCGGAGTCAGCCCTCACTTTTCCGCTGCCCTGGCCCCCAGAAGAGATGTCGAGCAGCTTCCATCGAAGGAGAGATGAAGTAGGTTTGGCCTTTTAATCTGGAAAAGCAGACCAAGGAGGGCATGAGCAAGGTGCATAAATCATTAATGGTCTGTGGGTAGAGATTTATCATTCACCTCCTCTGCCCTGCCTGAGAGCCAGGAGGTGGTGGCCGGCGCTGGTCTGCGGAGGCTTGGGATGAGCAGGGAGCTGGTTCTCTGCGTCTGGTTAAGCCGTGAGAATTTGTGCTGGAAGTTGTTGGGGTTGGGAGGTGGCAGTGCGATTTTATGGCAAAAAAAGCCATTTATTATGGACTGAAACCCTCCGGCTTGGGACGCGCGTGAGCTGCGTGCGGTGGGGGCTGCTCCCCTGTGTTTCTTGAGACTTTTCTCCTGGGATCCATTGTCGGCTGCTCCCTGATGCGACGGTGGCCTTGGTGGAGGTTTGGCTGGGCTCAGCCATTGCTGCGTCCCCGTGAAGCTCTCTGTCCCGCTGTCAGGCTGCTCTTCAGGGAGGGCGCTGATAAACTAGAGCCGATTTAAAGAAGGGTTTTCAATCGGAAATGTTGCGCTGCAGCGTGGGGTGGATTCTGCACTGCTGAAAATTCATGATCCAGCCAGGACGCCTTCCTAAAAACCTGCTGCGTTTCAAGTGCAGCCTTTGCACACGAGGGAGGACTTTGAAAGGAAACATCCTAGCAGTTATTTACACAGGAACTCGGAGTGGTTAATAATAATGGCTTTTGTTTTGGATTTACACCTGGTGAAGAGCTGACCTCCAGATGTTTTTCCTGCCATGTCCTCGAGCCCAGCTGCAGGAGAACTGAAGTGCAGCAGAGCTTCATGTGTCTACTGATGTTGATGAAACAGTGGGAGATGCTGGTACAGATGCTTCTGCGTTTGAGAAGATTAATTAGTGCTTGTCGTCGTGCTGCAGATGAGCACGCTGAACGTTTTTACACACGTCGTTCTCGTCGTCAGGAAAGGCAGCTTTGTCCTGCAGAGGAGCGGGCGCCGCAGATTCCAGCCCACATGTGCAAACACTCGAGCTGCGCTGGGCTGGGGGCCTGTTCCTCCCCGTTCCTGGAGAGATGCCCTTGAATGTCAGAGTCGCGGTGACTACAATCGCTCCGCAGAGAGCGGCACCCACTCCTTTGGGCACCACAAAATCCCTTTTTACCTCCCGCCCCGAGCCTTGGTGCGGCTGAAATGCTGCGTGCGCTGGGCTGTGATGGTGACCTCCCATCTCGTCGGTGCTCGGAGCTTAATGAACGGCAGCGGCAAAATGCTGTAATGAAAACAAGTGTTTGGAGGAAGGGGGGTTGATGCCTTCATCTCAGACGCGTGGAGAGCGGTGGCCTGAACCGGCCCTTTCCGTGGAGCTTGGCAGACGCGCCTTTCTGGGGACGTGTGCCGCCCGCCCTGATAATTGCTGTAGTGAGAGTGACGGACGGCCTCAGCGTAGCTGTGAGCTCAGAGTGCTGTTTATGTCTGTCTTACAAACAAGGTATTACAGCTGAGCCGACTAATTACAGGGTGCCGTGAAGAACGAACCCCCGGGCAGAGTCTAGAGGCTCTAGTCAAGAGCTCTGTGTAGGAGAGAGATTTGTAGAGGAACAGCCCAGATCCTCTCGTGTTGAGATTGTTTTTAAGATACGAACCACCAAAGTGGCGAATCCCCTCCCCGGCCCCATCCTGCTGGCATTTATTTGGCACTCACAAAGCCTTTCTATCTTCTCTCTTGCAGATGTGTCGGTCGGCAATGCCTGCTGGCTCGGCTTGGCCCTGGCCTTCCTGTGCGACAGTGAGTCCGAGGTTTTACTAAGAGTAACGGGATTAAGCTCCTCCTCGAGGGATCCTGTCTAAGGCTTTGGGGCACGTGTGCATTCCATCCACTTAGTAATTCTGCTCAGTCAATGCCGTGTTTAGCTGGGCACTTGCTGCCTCATGCCACCACGAGGTTACGGCCTGTTTACAGGGGGCTTGTGGATGGGGATGAGGGGAGAGCCTGGCTGGCTGCTGAGGCGGGCCTGGGTCTCTCCCGGAGGCAGCGGTACCCCTGTCGCCCCTCTGTGCTGCTCTGAGCGACAGCTTTGCACCCGAGGAGGGTTGGGAGCCGCAGAAGCCCTCTCGTTCCTGTGCTTCGTGCTGCCGGGCTTAGGGAGAAATAGTTATTTTCTGCTAAATTGGGCTGTAAGTGTAATTGCGGTGTAATCTCGGGAACATTAAATTACAAGCTCTTGAGGGTTTGCTGGGGTGGGTGTGGCTCGGCTCCGCTGGCTGAGTGGATTCCAGTGCAGCAGCTTCCTGTCCCGCGTAGTATTTTTTATTATTATTATTATTATTATTATTATTCACTCGGGAGAGCTGGCAGCGATCCTCTCCTTGCCTGCGTCCGTGCACAGCTGGAGCTGCTCTTTGTGCTGCTGTAGTCAAGGTCAGCCGGGAGCTCGTGTCCTGCGAGAGGGCAAGCTGCTGCGGCAAAGCCTGGTGGAGCGGGCAGGGGTGAAACGCTGCCCATCTCTCTGCACCTCCCGTCTCCTCTTCTTTTGCAGCATTGTCCCGATGGGAACGACAGCCAAGGAGGAGATGGCCCGCTTCTGGGAGAAGAATACCAAGTCCAACCGTCCCTTGTCCCCTCACGTCACCATTTACAAGTAGGAGCCTCTTGGCCTCCTCAGCTTTGCACTGGGGCCCCTCTGGCACGCGACAGCCCTGTCCCCGGAGGCACCCTTGGGTGGGAGGGCTGTGCGCGTCCCCACTGTCACTTCAGGCGGAGGACGGGGAGACCCTCTGCATCGCGCTGTGAACAGTCCGAGCTGTGTGTGGGAATCGCAGCCTCCCCCACGGAGTCGGTGACACTCTGTTTTCATACAGGGTGTTGCGCAGGGGTACAGTCCCCCCCAGCGCTGCGTCTCGGGGCGCTTGGGCAGGGCAGCGTTTCCAGGCGTGCCGTTGAAAGGCAGCTGCCTCCGCGGAGGGCGGTTGTGCAGAAGGGCACGTCCCGCTGCAGAGTTGGCGGTCCTCGGGGGTGGAGGCAGGAGGCCAGCTTGGGGCTCTCGGGTTCCCTCCTCAGAAAGGTGGCGGCTTCTCCGGGGCCGCCTCTGTCGCTTTTCCAGGTTCTCTCCTTGATCTGCGAGCCTGGGTGCCCAAACCCTGCCCCGTTGTTCCTCAACTGCAGGAGCATTACAGTCTTAGCCAACTTCCAGCTCCTCAAGGAGATAGTCAGTAGGACTCCCTGGGAAGAGGCTCTAGTCAAGAGCTCTGTGTAGGAGAGAGATTTGTAGAGGAGCAGCCCAGATCCTCTCGTGTTGAGATTGTTTTTAAGATACGAACCACCAAAGTGGCGAATCCCCTCCCCGGCCCCATCCTGCTGGCATTTATTTGGCACTCACAAAGCCTTTCTATCTTCTCTCTTGCAGATGTGTCGGTCGGCGATGCCTGCTGGCTCGGCTTGGCCCTGGCCTTCCTGTGCGACAGTGAGTCCGAGGTTTTACTAAGAGTAACGGGATTAAGCTCCTCCTCGAGGGATCCTGTCTAAGGCTTTGGGGCACGTGTGCATTCCATCCACTTAGTAATTCTGCTCAGTCAATGCCGTGTTTAGCTGGGCACTTGCTGCCTCATGCCACCACGAGGTTACGGCCTGTTTACAGGGGGCTTGTGGATGGGGATGAGGGGAGAGCCTGGCTGGCTGCTGAGGCGGGCCTGGGTCTCTCCCGGAGGCAGCGGTACCCCTGCCACCCCTCTGTGCTGCTCTGAGCGACAGCTTTGCACCCGAGGAGGGTTGGGAGCCGCAGAAGCCCTCTCGTTCCTGTGCTTCGTGCTGCCGGGCTTAGGGAGAAATAGTTATTTTCTGCTAAATTGGGCTGTAAGTGTAATTGCGGTGTAATCTCGGGAACATTAAATTACAAGCTCTTTATTTGGTACAGCGTGCAATTACCGTGGCAGTAAAGAGCAGGTTGCATGTTATCAGTATTATATAATGTGTTATCTGATATCCTATACCCTGATTTGGGTGTTGCTGGGGTGGGGGTGGCTCGGCTCCGCTGGCTGAGTGGATTCCAGTGCAGCAGCTTCCTGTCCCGCGTAGTATTTTTTATTATTATTATTATTATTATTATTATTCACTCGGGAGAGCTGGCAGCGATCCTCTCCTTGCCTGCGTCCGTGCACAGCTGGAGCTGCTCTTTGTGCTGCTGTAGTCAAGGTCAGCCGGGAGCTCGTGTCCTGCGAGAGGGCAAGCTGCTGCGGCAAAGCCTGGTGGAGCGGGCAGGGGTGAAACGCTGCCCATCTCTCTGCACCTCCCGTCTCCTCTTCTTTTGCAGCATTGTCCCGATGGGAACGACAGCCAAGGAGGAGATGGCCCGCTTCTGGGAGAAGAATACCAAGTCCAACCGTCCCTTGTCCCCTCACGTCACCATTTACAAGTAGGAGCCTCTTGGCCTCCTCAGCTTTGCACTGGGGCCCCTCTGGCACGCGACAGCCCTGTCCCCGGAGGCACCCTTGGGTGGGAGGGCTGTGCGCGTCCCCACTGTCACTTCAGGCGGAGGACGGGGAGACCCTCTGCATCGCGCTGTGAACAGTCCGAGCTGTGTGTGGGAATCGCAGCCTCCCCCACGGAGTCGGTGACACTCAGTGTTTTCATACAGGGTGTTGCGCAGGGGTACAGTCCCCCCCAGCGCTGCGTCTCGGGG